GAGCTGCCTCACACGCTGGAGTAGGTTTGCAGCCAACCAGCGCTTTCAGTCCACCTATGCAATTCTGACACGCATTTCCTTTACAGCCTGCCATACTGCCTTATTGCATTTCCCCTTCAATTAGTACACCACAACAAAAGAAGTGCACTGTATGAACAATGACAATGATAATCCTGACTGCCATCTACTAAGAGGGGCTGCTAAACTTCGGCAAGGGGAAAATTAGGCCTTGATTTTGTTTTACTAGTTATGTCACTAAAACAATTATTTTTAAATTTTAACATTTAAATCCTTAGTTGATTTTCAGGTGACTGCATCCAAGCGTCTATTTTCTTAATTAATGGGAAACTAGGCCACCGGATCTATTACATAAAAAATTTTGTTAAGTGAAATTCCAGGCCTCTTGTAAATGTCTTTTAAAACAAGACTGTTTTTCTCAACTTCTCTAAATAAATTCAATCAGGCCAGAAAGGCAAAGAATAAAAGTTGCATTGTTTATTTTCAAAAAGTCTTTTAACTATGTATATATGGCCTTTTTGAAAGTAATTACTTTCTAACACTCTTAGTCACACAGGTAATTTGTCTTACAATAAAATATGTATAAGCAGCATGCGGCACACAAAGGCTCACACTACAGGAGTCGTCCTGTGTGCGACTATTCCACTCTCTCCAGCCAGTCCTCCTAACAAGCTCTTCTATTTCAAGCCACCTCCTCAGTATGGAGACCCAAACAGAAGCAGACACACTGAGCCGAGGATATTCTCTCCTAACCAGAAGAAGCCGAGGCACTGAAAAGCTGCTCTTTGGGTGCAGAAAACTGCCTGCAAATGCCCTGTCCCCCGTCCTTCTGAGAAGAAACACCTCTGTTCAGCAAGCAGGCTGAGACCTGCAAACTCATCACACCAGACCCAAGACCACTAGCTGCCTGTTACCACAAGAGCTGAACCACCAACAGGCATTTCTCATTACCTCCTCCTTCAGCTTCACTGCTTCAGCACCAGAGAGATTAAAATATCTATTTTAGAGCTATTTCTAGATTGCTTTATGCTCCTGCCTGGTACTTACAAATGCTCAGGAGCTGTGGGTGCTGATGATTTCTCATCGAGACACGAAATCCTCTGGGCCAAGTTCAATATTAGTGTAAGTGCACACAAGATTAGTGACTGGAATAGGGGTGTTACCCACTTCTACAGACACTTAATGCAGCTTCTTAATCAGGCAAAAATCCTATTTAAACCCACAGTGCTTTTTGCCATGAAAAGTAATATAGAGAAAATAACAGTGATACGCAGCAGATCACTTTCTGAGCTCGGTTATTCTACTACATGCCTGGATTAAGTCCAATAAATGGAGTTATTCTAGATATACACCCATGTAAGTGGCTCACAATCCCGTCCCCTGGAGTCACTCCAGATTTATGACATAGAACACAGTGCCAAATTTAGTGCTTTTAAAAAATTGTACCTACATGTGTGGAGAAGTGGCTTAAAAGAGTGATGTTTAAACACTGAGAATGAAGACAAATATACATTGCTTGATGAAACATGTTTTTAAGAGCACCATGCAGTTCGAAGCTAATTATATTGCATATTCTTTCAAGGTATTATAAACTGTGGCAAAAAGTCTCCTGCTCTGTGGCTATAATATTTTGATGAGCACAAACACAAAAAAATAAATATGAAAGAAATATTGGAAATGAAAGAAGTACTGGAAATGAAGTGTTTGCTGAGGAGAAAATTGGTTTTAGTAGTATATACTTAGGATTTTATCAAGAGAAACTGCAGTCAGCTTTAACTTAAAACACAAAACCTTGCTAAGAACTATAACAAGGCTTAGCAAATCTAGAGTGACAACAGTGATATCAAGTATCACTGATTTTCGTTTTATCAGCCAGAGGATGTAAAGTACAGTACACGAGTGAAGACTAACAAACCTGTGGCCTAAAATGTGAATGCTGGAATGGGAACTGTTCCAAACAACATGACAGCCACCAAACGGTTAACTCAGACAGACGGGGTGGGGGGGGAAGAAAAAGAAAAAAAAAAAAAAGGAAAACTCCAAAGAAACTTTTATGCAAGCTTTTATAAGCCAAAAGCATTTTTACGAAGTACCACAGCTTCATTAATTTGCTAGTAATACACTCAAGTGGAGCTGACGATTTGGCTAACCTGCTAAGTGTGCCACGTACGGTCCCGTCTGCCTGACACCACCGCAGGCAAAGAACACTCTTCCCAAGAAGTTCAGCCATTAGGAACCCACCACCGGCATCCTTCAATTTTCGGCAAGCCCGAGGCGGTGCCCACAGCACACACAGGGCTGGCGGTAGCCCTCTGGGTCGCCTGCCAGCCACACACACACACCTGGCTGGACGGTGAATACGGTGAATCCTGTCTGTTACCATGGCAGCCTGATCTAATTACATGACTGATCAGGGCTGGAGTAAGCAAGCTGAAAGCCTGCACCGCTGACATGTCGCTACATGATGAGAGAGACAGACAGACAGCCGAGTACGGAGGAAAACCTATCGACCTCTGCCTTATGTAAAAAGTGAGATTACAGGCACCCTTTCAAAATAACTGCTGTCTGTAAAATACCGGGCCGGTTTTATGAACAAATTAGGTGCAATAACGTACAATTACTACTATTATCTCACATCACAAAAATAACCACAGCGTAACATTTTCCCTGACCATTCTCAATTTCCCTCTCCCCCATTCATAACCCCTGCTCCTTATGATAAAATTGCACCGTCTCCATCACCCAGAACAGAAATAGATTAACACGAACCCGGGATTTTCCTTTAGGGGAAGGCTTCATTCGAAACTGAAATTAAAAGTCCTTGACTTCTCGGTGTGTCAGCACAGTAACTCACTATGCCTGACCATATCTGACACGTAAAGTAACCATTACTGCATAAAATACATAACCATGAGCGTTAAAGGTTAAAGTGTAAGCTGTGTTACAAAATATGAATTTCTTTACCATATGAAAGGGAAAAGGTCTCCAGCAAAGGTCATCTACCTGCACACCCCTGCCGATCAGTACACAGAAATCATTTGTAAAGAGGAAGGTTTTACAAACCCGGATTTCTTCGTCTGGGCGTAACAGGAATGCTTAAAATTTTTCCCCAATTCTATCTGGAGTTCGGGCTCACGGGGGAGAGATGCTGCTCGGAGGAGTCCCTATTACACAGCATACGGTAAACAAAATAAAAATAGCCTGTCGCTCTCGTTGTCTACACAGTGCATTATATAACGGGCTTCCGACTTGTTTTCTTTTCTATTATTACTCTTCAGCAATTCCTCCTCTTCAATAACATGTAAATCGCTCCCAATTCTGTCATTTTATTATTACCGCTATTACTATTACAGTAGGAGCTAATGCTTTTCCAGCACGCTTTAATTTAGACTTTAATATTCTCAGGAATCGCATTGACGGATTCAGCACCCACAACCGTACACGGGGTCATTTATTTGTTTTTCTGCCAGTAAATTACGATGCCTTAGGAACAACAACAAAAAAAAAATAAAATAAAAAAAGCCGAACCACCACCAACCCACCCTAAAACCCCGCAACCCAACCACCCCCCACCCGACCCAAGCAAACCCGGAGGTGGCGGGGGATCGGTGAGCGGCAGGAGGGCAGCGGCCGCCGCTGGCGGCGAGCTGAGCCCCGGGGCGGCGGCGGTGGTGGGGGGAGCCCCGGCCCCGCTCCCCCGCGGGGCTCCGCCGGCCAGACCCCCCGGCCGCGGACGGGCGGCGGGGCGGTGGCCCCCCCGGCGCTCCCTTTCCCCCATCCCTCCCGCCCCGTCCCTCCCGGCAGTACCGGGTGGCGTCTGCAGCCGGCCTGGGCCCTGAGTGAAGCGGAGCGGGGCTGCTGCCGGGCACATCCCAGCGCCAGCGCCGCCTCCTCCGCCGCCTCCTCCTCGCTTCATTCACCCTCCGGCAGCCGCCCAGCCCCGTACTACATACGCCGTGCGGCGGCGGCGACCGGCCCTGCCGGCGACCGGCCCCGCGCTGCGCCCCGCCGGGTCCGCCCGGCGTACGCGCCCCGCACGGCCCCCCCCGCACCGCGCTGACACACATGCACGCACACACACACACACACACACACATCCACCGCACCGGCACCGCACCCTCCGCACTCACACACACACACACGGCACGGCACCGCACGTACCGGCACCCTCCGCACACACAGACACACGCACCGCACCCCCCGCAAACACATACACACGCACGGCACCGCACACACGCACCGCACCCCGCACACAACATACACACACACACACACACACTCACGGTCACAGTCACGCACAGCACCCCCCCTCCCCCCCGCACACACACACATTCTCACAGCGCAGTCTCACACACCCCGAGTCCGCCGCCGCACCGGGGGCAGCCGCGGCTCGCAAAATGTCCACCGTCCCCGCGGCCACCCACACCCCGCCCGGGCCGGGGGAAGCGGGAGGGAGGGAGGGAGAGGGGGGTGAGGAAGGAGGAAGGAGCCGGCGGGGGGGCAGGGCTGTACAGAGCGGCTCCCGCTGTGGGGCCGCCCTGTCCCCTGCTCCCTCCCGTGTCCCCGCATCCCACCCGCTCCCTCCGCGGCGCCCTCGGTCATTTCGCGGGCGCCCCCTCTCCTCGCTCCCTCCCTCTCCCCCCGCAAGGCCGAGCCCGCGGCGGCAGCGCCTGCGGGCCGGGCCGGGCCGGGCCAGGGCGGCCGCAGCGAGGCGGCTGCAGCCCCGCGGCGGGGTGGGCACTGCGCTCTCTTCCTCCTCCCCCCGCCCCCTGTTTTTCCAGCTGGAAATCGCCGGAGGTTTGCAGCCTAAACAAGGGAAGAAGCCGGGGTGGGGGTGGAGGAGGCAGAAAGCAGAGGAGGAAGAAAAAGCCACTTACTGTAAAGTGTCAGTGGAGGTGGGGTTGGCGGGGGTGGGGGGGTCAGAGAGAGACTCGCACACAAATGTCTTCCTAGCTGATCACGGGGGTTGGGTCTGCTTTTTTGTTTGTTTGGCTTTTTTTCTTCCCCCTGCAGTGACACAGGTCCGGGATGTCTCCACCACTGTAGTAGAAATGATGTCTGCGGTACAGCGCTCGCTCCCTCTCCTCTCTCCAGCATGTAAATGGGTAATAGAAGCCAAATATGGAGCAGTTGGCTGCCTCTGCAACAGCTCAAGGATCCTACTTCATGCAAAAGGCGGGGGGGGGAGAGGGAGGGGGGAGAAGGGAGGAGGAGGTGGAGGAGGAGGAGGAGGAGGCAAGGCAACACTCTGGCAGGCGGCCAAGAGAGCCACACAGATTATTGCATACGCACGGCACCGCCGGGCCAAGGCGGCCTTAACCCTTTGCGGGGCCGCCGCACGCTGCCCGGGGGCGGGGAAGGGGGCAGGGGGGCTCGTCTCGACACTTACCTCCTCCTTCCCCTTGTAACACTTCAAAGGCCAGGCTGGCTGTCTACGGTGGGCTTAAACCCTGCGCACGCCGGTGTTCCAGAGAAGTCCCCGCTCCTGTGGCAGGCTGCGTTGAGCGGATCTCAAATCACTTTGCAGGCGGAAAGAAATGAGATGGGGAGGGGAAAAAAAAAAAAAAAAAAACCACACAACCCAAACCTATATTGTTTAAGGGGAAAGAAACAGCTAGCGACGCGTGCTGTCCTTCAGAAATGGCAGGGAATGCTGGTTTAAAGGATGCATGAAAATCGGTTGCTCAGTCAAGGCTGGTCTGTCTCTCTAAGGGAGGAAATAAAACTGTGCTGGAAGCCAGGGAATGCTCTGAAGCAGCCTCTGCGAGAGTCAGAAGAGGGTGATTTTATTTAAGATGCCATATTGCATTTTGCTGTGGAGAACTTGTGAAGTGATTTAGAGCAAGAGCCTGCATCCCACTCCCTTTTTCTGAATTAGTTTTATTTATCCGGATCCTTGGCATATGCTTGAGTTGCTTTGTAGAAAGTACCTTCCACTTCATTCAGACCAAAGAGGCTCTGACTCATACCGTCACTGAACTACAAGACAGGCAGGGCTAAACCACGCATGTTTGGGTACTGACTCTCTTGATTCCTCAGCACTGGTTTCATCTAAGACCTCTTTGCATCTCTCCCAGCTGTATGCAGACCACTGTGAGCCTCTCCCCCCACCCACTATGGCAACTTACACTTCCCTGGCATTCCAGCGTCAGCTTGTTACTCTCTTCTCTCAACGCAGGTCTCTGCAAGTGCCATAAACTGCAGTGATGGGCAAGTAGCAAACATGGATGCAAAACCAAGACCACAGAAAACATCCTCCTTCTGGACTGTCTCAGTCTGCTATGTAAGTGAAAAAAAAAAAAAAATCAACTTATTAAGGCAGGTACAACTTAGAGAAATAACTTATGGAAGCAATGAATGGGGTAAATGCAACCCAGGGAAAGGAAAGGACAGCAGGCTGCTATGCTTGCATGCAACCCGACAGAAGTACATAAGAAGCCATTCACTGATTTGGCATCAGGAGGAGAAGTAGAGCACAGAGAAGGCCTCTCCACACCCCAAGGACATTGCAAAAAATGTTTCATAAATACCAAAGGCTGTTAACCACCAGCTCCACAGAGCTGGGCGCTGTGGGGTCACAGGCCTCAGAAGGGCCTGAGATGTGCACTCCATGTAACATGGCCATCCAGACCAGGCCATTTAATGCAGCTTGTATGAATTTGCCACAACAATAGGCTCCAAGCTACCAGGTTTCTAGTGCAGGTATACCTCCTATGTGTCCATTATATATTAGCCTATATATTTAGCATTAAATCTAGTGTTAGAGTCTAGATGCAAAGTACCCTAGGACTCAGCCTGTCATTGTGCAGATCAGCATAGGCCTTTCTATAAATGACTGTACTAGCTCACCATAATTGCTAAAGAACATAGTAATAACATTGTAAACTGCAGTGCTCTTGCTTTAGAGTTGATACTGTAATACAGACTACCTTTATGAAACATAAGAATTTTTTACTACAGCACCTTCTGCATCTTTAGTTCAGGTTCACTATGAAAACCAACATGATATTCTGCTCTAGGAGTGGTCTGGGGACAGAAGCAGCAACAGGCCAAGATGTCTGGACAAACGTGCCACTCAGCACTACAAGACAGTGAATCTACAGCAGCAAAGCAGACAGCAAAATTATATTCACCTAGCTAATGTAAGGTTCATTGATTTAATAAAAGGAACCAAGGGAGAGAGACAAAGACTGGAGATTACTGAAAATCAAGTGAAAGCCCTGGAGAAATTCAAACCTATCATCAAGGTTCAGTTGTGAGTACATGGCATTCTCCTGTCTGCCACCTTTTTTATTCCAGTAGTACAGAGTGTTACCTCAGGAGAAAGGAATCTTTCCTTCTCAAACTGTTCACCTTGCCAAGAGGTGTGGCACACGCAGAGAAAGAGAAGCCACATTCATGCTGAAGCAAGCTTTGGGCAACGTTTCCTTCTGCAGCAGGCTCATGTAATAGGCTTGTGTGTTCTTCCACTCTGTGGCTATGGTGTTTGCCTCAGGACCCTCATTTTTTGCCACCCTCCAGGCTCTAGGTTTTTACATCTTATCTGTGTTTCTGCTTCAGAGTAGCAAAGAGATTCCCAAAATGTAGGTCCACTGTAAGTCAAAGCAATAGTTTTCCTGAGCCAGCAGGCAGCCTTAGCCCACTGGCTCTGGAAAGCGCCACAACCGCCACCAGCCACGTCAGGTGCATAAACCATTCTCACCTCCTTTTTGACTTGATATATAACAGGTGAGGGATGAGAGGACTATGCCTCTATGAACATTGACTGACACACGGGATATATAAATGTGTCACAAGACATCCTTGTGCCTTGCAGCTCCCCTGCTGAGGGCCTACACTGGGCCTCAGTATATTCCCTCCACAAAGAATTCCACAAAATATGGAGGTGTTGATGAAAGCAGTGAGTGGGACACAAGAACCCACGTCAACTCGAGCATTTTTATTTACTGCTGGTGATGTGCTGAAGCTGATATGATGCCCAGTGGAATATAGCATTGACCAAAAGATATTAAGCAATTTTACATGCAAGATGCACACTGTCTAGAAGAAATTGTGTTTCAATTGACTAGCTTTAGTGTGTCATCTACGCTGCACATTTTATACCATTAATGGTACATACGGAAAATGAGAGAATAAGGGGTGTAATACATTGGAATTATTTTTTTGTTAAACATTCACAGGGAAATCCAGGGATTGACAATGTATTGAGCATGAAAAGTAATTTCACAATTATTGATCGTTAAAGTCCCAGCCTCCAATCTGTCATAAAATGACATTGTTGGTCTCATTACAGCCTCTAGTGGACAGTAGTAATCCACTTCACAGACCTGTCATACCATTTGCTCAAATGACAAGCGTTATCAACACAGAGGTTACTCCAAGAGAGCATGAACATACAAGTCATTCTCATCCCCTGGCAAAAAGGATTTTTGAATACAATCAAAGGTTTGCTGTCATTGCTTGTAAGGTGCCTTGCTTTACACTTCAGGTATTAGCATTGGCTTGTAAATAAACAGGTAACTTCTGCTATTCATTTCAGCTTCTGACAGCTTTCATAAAACCTAAATTCATCTCAAATATTTTTATAACAGAAAATATTGGTTGCCATGTTTTTGGCTTAAGTAAGATGTTTTTATTCCAACTCAGAATCTGCCGACTGTCCAATTCACCCCCTATCTATTTATAGCCCTCTCGCATTCAGATAAGTTTTGCTAATGCAGTTATTTTCATTATTATTTCAGACATATGCAGCTGATTTAAGGTATTTTAACAGCTTTAACAAATGAGAAACTATAATTTGGATTGCAGCTGGCTAATTAAGGTATGCTTTCCTCAGGAAAGTTAAAAATGTACACGATCTGAAGAATAATGTATTTGGACTGCATTCTTTAAGTGCCACTTGTGTGAACATAATAAAATATGACTAACATCTTTATTTTTTGTGTATTCACTTAGAAATGAGCGTACCTCCTGTCAAAACAGAGATGTCGAGGATGTTCTCCAGAACTCTGTGATTGTTTTCAGATGCAAGGAAATTAGATTGATAGACACAGAGAGCTAATGCTGTCTCTTTAAAGCCACAAGTATCTCATGCAAATTAACATTTAGTGAAATGAGAGCAAAGCATTCATGAAGACTAAACAAGTATGTAGTACTACACTGTGAGTCAAAGAGAAAAATCTTATGGTCTAAAATGCTGTGGTCCTTTGCAAGTGAATTCAAAGGAAGGGCTGACCTTAAATTCTTTATTTTACCACATTGTGGCTAGGTTGTAGGGTGCTGAACAAATCATTATTTGTCATGCCTTACAGTATAGGTAATGGGATATTTAGGTACAGAAATATTTACCTTACCATTGTCTTGATTTTTTAAAAGAAGCAATCAAGTTCCTCTTTAAATAACAATAGCTTCAATAGCTTTAAAATAACAATAGGTCCTTAGATGCAGATCTTTTGCTTTTTCTAAAATAGGCAAAGCAATTAATCAGGGAATTAAGAAAACTGAAGAATCCTCTGAAGTCTTAAAATCAAGTCTGATTTAGTCTTCTGAATAAGTTTTCAGTCAGTTACAGGTCTCTGATCTGGAAGGAAGATCAGCTAACCTACCAGTGACCACTCCAGGATGGACCACAACCACAGTTAGCCCCATAAGCTGTTCCAACAGTGACCAGTGGGAAATAAAAGTGCTTGGCCCTTCTCTAGAAAGGTGTTTAACTGGTCTAGGCACCTCTCAAGTAATAACTGTTATGACCACCAGGCTGGTGGTCTGAGGTCTCCCCCCATGTTCTGGTCTCCACATATCTCCCCTGCAGTTACCCCTGTGTCTGGTGTGAGAAGAAGGAACAAGCACAAATGGAAACTAAACAGCTGCCTTATTCCTCGAAGTGATCACTTCATGTTGGGTTCAAAGTACACCAGCAGGGCACAGAAGGGAAGCTGTACTCTGTGGAAAATGCTCAGTTTCCAGGGATGTCAAGGCAGTGCTGTTAACATTCAACCAGTGGTGCAGACCTCAGGAGAATTCACCAGCCACTTTCTGGGAGGGGGCTCTCAGATGCTAGCAGGGAGCAGACAGAGGCCACAAGTCCTTGTAAGAGACATGTGTTGTCCCTTTAAATCATACCTGGTACAGAGACTTATCTGGGAGTTCACTTACACCATTTTTTTTTTTCTGTCTGTTAAGGGCGTTATGGTCTAGACAGATTAGATTAGCATCTATCGTGTAAACACTTAGGGTTGGGAAATAACTCTTGACCTTTCTTAAAGCTTCTTACCCACATATAAGGCAGCGTGGTTTCCAAAATCTGCCACAGTCTCTCTGATCAATGCTATACATATTTTGATAAGTGCAATGAGTTTTAAGGGGAGAAGGGGAATGGGCTAGAATGGACTAGTTACCTGTTTGAACAGACACAGGGATTGAAAACATGGATTTTTGACTCCTTAAGTCCTTTAATGGCCCCAACGGAGCTGTTCTGGTCTACTGAACAAATCTGTCCTACCTCATGGATCATTGACCTACCAGACCTCCAGAGCCAGTGTACTCAATCCTACTGTTAAGTCTGCTCATTTTGTTCACACTCTAAAAATCATTATATTTTGTTGAGAAAAAGCACAGCTTATGAATAACAGCTATTTTCTACTCTCACTGTCTCTACCTCTTCACAAAATATGATATATATGGGCCTTGGCCCCAAAGCTGTCATGCAAATTCATAACTCAGGTTTACCAAATTCATTCAATATGGGTAAATCTGGGCTCATGCCTTGGTTTCAAGACAGAGACAAGTGCAAGTTGCTTTATGCCCAAGACAAGTTATTTTGTATCTATATTTTCTTCAAAAAGAAAACTAATAACTAGTACAGTATTAACCAGAAGGTCAGTAACAGTTCTGAATGTAGGTATCTTTTACACAGAAAAGAGCTGTGTTTCTTTGTTTTCAAAAGGTATCATACAGCACAAAACAGCAGTCACCTGATGCACAGGAATGGTGACTTGGAGTGGTTCATAAACATCAAGCAAAAATTTAAATAGAATAACTTTGCTGTGGAGGAATTGCTATATCCCCTTAGATTTGATTCATAGTCACGGTTGGCTGGAAAATCCCCAGGCAGAGATAGACCACAGGCATGACAGTGTATTGCCTGGAGGGTAAGAAGTCCTCAGCCTGCAAGGCTTTGACCAACAACCTAGGTGAGCACGGTAAACATTTACCTTCAATTTATCCAATTACAAGCTGAGTGGGCATTTTTCCCATTTATTCTGCAAGGTCACAGGGATATGCTCAAAGAACCCTGAAACTCTGTAGTTAAAAAAAAAAAAAGAAAAAAAAAAAAAGTAAAGTCCTGGGAAAAATGACAGGAGGCATGAGGTAGGATACTACTTTAAATCAGAATTATTTCTGCTTGCACATACCATGTTGTAACTACACTGGCATCACTTTGATTTCTTACTGGACAGAGGCAGCATCTTTCCCTCAGAGATTTGACAGATCCTCATGTTCTCTTTTTACCCTTCAGCAGAGGCCTTTCTACTAATAGGCAACAATTGTTCTCATATTGACTGTCATATCACGTCTCTCTCTTTCACCCTGCCCACTTTTTCCACAGGAGAGCTTCCATTTATACTTGCTTTCCTCTGCTTGATCTGTCCTTGATCTGCTCTCATATAATCCTCATATGATATTATTCATTTATTTATACTTAAGGTAGTGAAAGACACTTATTCAAAGCTCTTGAAGCCCTGACACAGATATTACAAGCACAACACAACAGTGTGAAAGAAGTTTTATTAAAAGGAACTTAGCTGGGCAACAGGTACACCAGAGACACCTGCCTTCTGAAAGCCTATTTTTAATCTTCTCTCAAAGTGCCCTCAGGGCCTCTTCAAAAATCATAAAATTCAAACTCTTGTGAAGTGTAGGTTCTATCACATAGACAGACTCGCTCGTGTGCGGATTGTTCTGTCATGGGGTCAAGTAAAGCCAAGAGAGTGGAGTGGACACCTGGGGGCAGGACCATCTCACGACCTGCTGTTCCTACTCAAGAGAAGCTGGTTCTGAAAGGTTTCTAACTATAGATTTTTCACAGTTTATATTTTCATAGAATCATACAATCATTAAGGTTCTTAGAAACATTAAGGAAAAGACCTTTAAGATCATTAAGTCTAAATTGTTAATCCAGTACCACCAGCACATTCACCATTAAACCATGTAGTCAAGTGCCATTAGCCACACATTTTTTGAGCACTTCCAAGGATGGTGACTGTGCCACTTCCCTGTGAAGTCTCTTCCAATGATTTACAACCCTTTCTGTGAACATTTTTTTCCTAATATCTAATCTAAACCTACCCTCATGCAACTTGAGGCCATTTCGTCTTGTCTTGAAAGTCCTCTAATCATCTTTGTGCAAGAGGACATAAAAATGGCCTCATAGTGTCTGTAGGACAACAGTGGTCATAAGCAGATGCTTAAGGAGACATGGGCATTGTATACTACTTCCTCCATATGCTCTCCAGCCTCCCACTGTTTTCAGTTTAAGGGACTTTCTGATCAGGATGTGGTTTCTGGCTATTTAGTGATCCTCGATGGATTATGTCCCAAGATTTGTGCCATCTTCTCCATCAGCATGTGTAAACTGTAGATATGTGCTATGTCACACTGCACAGATTGAGTCTCTGATGCAAGAGGAATCACCTCATCCTGCCTGCTTCATTCAATGTTCCTAGCTCTTGCTTGACAGAGAATGGCCAGTCACTACCCAGACTCTCCGTGCTATCCAGATATTTACAGCCCTCTATCATATTGCATCTAAATTATCCTTCTTGCAGGCTGGAAAGGTTGTTACACAAACCAGTCTGTTAAAGACTTCGCTGCTTCTGCCGCAATTCTTACCTGGTTTTGAGTCCCTCTGTTTTGGTCTTACTCCTGTGACATCTTCACTCCCTCCGTTCTTCTGCCTGCAGAGAAGAGATAGTAAAAATTATCCTTTGCCTTCGCGTAACAGTGGTGACACAGTGAAGTACAAGTAGTATTACCGTGAAAGCAATACAGAATGCTCTCTTTCCCCAAGGCTTAGCCAAGGACTCAGAAAAGCAACAATTCCACATATCAAGGACAAGACAGAATAGTACTAATGTAAACAAAAATAAGTCCATGGTTCTATCTACATTTTTTTCATACTTGTTTAGCAACACAAACTGAAACTCTTCATATTTCATGAACTACCTCTGTCAACCACTCCACTGTGGTGTTAAAAATTAGATATGATGGGACATCTCCCACCAATTTCAGGAGAAGTATTTCACACACTTGTATGCATAACAGGTCTGAAAAATATTGCATACTACAAAGCTGGGTTTGCCACATGTTTATTCCTGCCCTTTAATCTGTCTCTCCCCTTTCCATGATACATCTCCTTTCTTGGGATATATATTAAGTCATTTCTCTCCCTTACTTGGCCCATCTTCAGCTAGGTGTGTAAACTTCGTGTCTGATTTAAGGTGTACAAGTTGTCCCGTTGTCTTAATGATTCTGAATCATACATTTAAAGTTAGCTTTGTGCTTGAGGGTACGGCCTTGTGAACATGTTACAGTGAGGCATTCAAGGGTGTGGATTTACAGGACACCAGCTACTTTGCAACAACTGCACAGATAAACACCCTTTGCCTGCTGGTAAATGCAAAGTAGGTTAGCCCAGAATCTCAGCAAAGATCACCTCTGCCCCCACTACAATTGCTTCTGCTGCTATTCCCTGAATACTGGTCCTTTTGACGGTCTGTCCCCAGCGGTGACACTATGCCCAGAAATAAACATGATAGTTTCACATAGAGGCACCACCACCTCCTGCACCTCCAACGTGATTCACTGCCAAAAACAGTTCAAAGTGTACTTTTTTTTTTCATACACCCCAAAATCTTGCAAACAGAAGTCATATTTAAGAGTCTTTGTCTCCCTTGTTGCATTACAGCTTCAGCTGGTTTACTTAAATGTTTATATGATAGGATATATTCTTTGCCGAGTCTTTGTT